AGAAAAAGGAGGAGTAAGAAGAAGAAGGGGGAGTAAGAAGAAGAAGGGGAGGAAGAGGAAGAAGAAGAAGGGGTAGTAAGAAGAAGGGGGAGTAAGAAGAAGTAGGAGGGTTAAGAAGAAGAAGGGGGGTAAGAAGAACAGGTGGGGGAGTAAGAAGAACAAGTGGGGGAGTAAGACGACCAAGGGGGGAAGTAAGAAGAACACAGGGAGGAGGGGGGTAAGACGAACACAGGGGGGGTGAGGAGAACACATAGAGGGAGGAGTGAGAAGAACACAGGGAGGGTGGAGGGGGGGATGAGAAGAGCACAGGGAGGGTGGGTGAGTGTGAGAAGAGACCGCTAGGGGAGGGTGGGGGAGAGGAGAGACCACTAAGGTGCAGGGGAGAGCTCTACGGGACAGAAGGGGCAGCTTTATAGGACAGGGGCCAAGACAGGGAGCTCTTTGCACACTGTAAAAATTCTTTGCATTTAAAATACAATAAAATGTGATGGGTCTTTTTCTTGCTAGATGCCTAAATCATATAAAAACAAAACAGAGGAACCATAGTGTAACCTGTATACATAAATATAACAGTGATACAATAAAAATGGAACACACACTTTACAGAGCCCTTAAAGAGTGGCTCTGATCTGTAAAGGCATGTCGCCTCTAGAATGTAAGCTCATTGAGCAGGGCCCTCCACCTCTCTGTTCCTGTACGTCCAATTGTCTGGTTAAAATTACATGTCTGTTAGTCCACCCAATGTACAGCACTACGGAATGTGATGGCGCTATATAAATAATAAAATAATAATAATCCACAATAGAGATAGTTGTAGTGGTGTATCGCTGGAACCTTGAATTTTCCAAGTAAAAAATTGAACCAGGAACCAGGAACGATATAAAAGTTGGTTATTCCAAATAGTAATGAAAACATAACAGAAAATAACAGAAAACATAACAGAAAATTAGCACTTTGTACTTGGTTTGTTTGGATCTATTGTATACTGCATCATTGACTTCCTGAACTATGATTTAGAATATTTGTTTATTTGCTAGTTATCATGGGTTAGACGTGCAGCTGTGTATCTACAATCTGATTCGTTAGGTGATGCAGCATATTGTCACTGAGTGTGTTTATAGTTTTAATGAATCATAACAAGTATTTTGAAAACTGCACGGAATAAAGTTAAAATAAGGCAGGTCCTTAACATAATCTTCTTTGTGCCCAATAGGGTTATCAATTAAACTATGTAGGATCTAAAGTGATCTCTAAGTTAATTTCAAATTTTCGGCCACAATTGTCAAATTTAAGACATACCTGACTTGGGGATTTCTTTTCAATTTGCTATTTTGGCTTACAATAAAATATTTAATTTTTTTTTAATTTTCCAATTTAATGAATTGCCCTTGTGAAAAGCTAAACTAACTGGACAACACACTGTTAGCTATGTATCATGAAATATTTGGGAGAAATATTCAAATGTAGAGCAATCACTATGGAAATTAATTGAAGGTCCTTAATGGTTTTGCCAAACTGGGAACTGAACTCCACTTTTTATACATGTTAATTTTTATGTGTTAGGAATGTATATTCTGGCAAACAGTGTCCATTTTCTTTCCTAAAACCAAGACCCACCAGCTATCTATAAAATTGTATGTAAAATAATAATGTAAATGACAGAAGGGGAGTAGTTAGCCTTCAAAGTGTTAGACCTGCAGTTCTACATAACCTGCAGGCAGTTTGACCTTAGATACCTGCTCAAATAGCTGTTAGAACTGTAATAACAGTTAACGTAAACACCCGATAGATTGCTACTGTTTTGCTAGTTATCAATTAACCTACTTGAAGATCCAGTGAGAAAATTTGTCATAGCATTTGCCCAACTAAGCAATTGCAATGCCTGTTTCTGTTCAGGGTAGGAATTTGAAGAAATCACTACATACCATTTTTATCCACTGACATAGCTACTACTTGTCATTAACAAAACTTTTTACCATTTGCCTTTGATCACAGGTACTTAGACAATTCGCACCTCTATACAAACTACCCTACACTTCCTGTATATAAAATAGCTTCAACTGTAATCAGACACAGCTGTTGAGTCAAACCATTTATAAAACTATGTTTACAAAGACAAAATATGAACAGAGACCAGTTTCACACTCGTTCAGTTGAACTACAGCATTCAGACATACTTATTGCCAGAACACAAAACTAATTCCTCTTACAAAAAAAAGGCTTTAAAAAAACGTATGATATTAACCATTTTAAATGTTAGATGGTTAATATTTTAAAATTTAGATACTCTGATGGTCAATAACAGAAACATTACCAACACCAAAACAAGCCACTCATATTCAATATGTTCTAAACAATTTCAAATATAAACCTAACAAATGAAACAAGTATCACTGTTGTAATTATTATATGCTAAAGACAGAAGTAGCCAACAATCAGACTTTCTGTTTGTGTTGAACTAAAAATTCTCATAACATTCATTCAGCATCTTCAATTGAGCTGTGCAGTATGCATCTGTGTCCCACTAAATGTCATATTGAAGTTCATAACTGCAGTGATGATCACAGCTGCTAATATATATATATATATATATATATATATATATATATATATATATACATACATACATACATATACACACACACACACACACATATATATATACACACACACATATACACTTGTTGTTGACCTGAATGCTGTGTTTTGGCATAATTTTGAATAAACAGTGCTTGTCATTATGTATCCTGTGAATGTGTGGAATAATGCTGCCCATATCACGGTAGATATGAGGCAAGAACATTTCATTTGTAGTCCGTAATTATTTTAGCTCCTCCTGTCTACATCTCATTAGCATTCAGTAGTACATTGCACCATGGGGATGGGCAGTTCGGATGATTGTTCTTTAATAATGTATTCTTAGCGTGATGATTTGGGTTTTTATCTTATTTTTTAATGACAAGAATAGTGTATTTGAACTTGTAAAACATTTTTAAACTCATCGCTGGAAACTAAATGAGGGCCTTCAAGTAAAGATATGCTTATGTGATAAAAATGTATTTTTTTTGGATTTTGCATTTTAATCATTAAACTGTTAAAAGGGAAACAAACCTGAAAAAAAGATTAAATAAAATGTGTTATTTTTTGTCAGTATCCTTGAAAGCTAATTCAAAACCATTCGTGAGATAAGTAACATTACAACAAATGCCATTAAATTATCCCACACACAAAAAAATGTGAATTTGTGTGTGTAGACCTCCCCTTAAAGCCAATATATTTATTACCTCGACCCCTTCTAAGCTACGTATCAGGTTTCAAGAGACGTGTTATTGTAAGTGTCACTATGATACACATTTTTTATTTATTTATTTATAAGCTATTACAATAAAGCACACTTAACATAAATGGACCTACACATGGGAAGGGCACATCAATATAACTAGAAGCATTCGATTAATAAGATAGCCAAGCAGCCTATTTGGACAGTGAGAATCAACAATGCCCAGCAAAATTCATTGTAGGCCCATATGACAGACAAAGGGTTAAGAAAAAGAAACTACAGCATGCTGTAAATCTGAGCAATGCTATTTTAGACTACATTTTTAATTGGCTGAGGTTCGTAGGAGTTGTAATCCAATAATATAATACAGGTAAACAAAATCACCATTAAACAAAAATCACAAAAGTAAAAATAACTGGTGTCTCATTAAAATGAAAGCTCCATTGATACCAGTTTTGTATACCCAGTATTAAAGCCCATGGTTTCTACCCTAATAACAAAATATAATCCTATTACAGGCACAGTGTGCACCTGTCTCTATTTAAATACAGATGAGGCCCTCCAAACAAAAAGCAGAATACAATTCAAACGTAACCCCCTATTTGTTTGCTGAGATTGGCTTGAATGCCAATAGGCTACTAATAAACGCTGTTTAACATGTTAGCACAGAATAGACGACAAAGAGCACTGGGATGTTAAAGACACGCCCCCATGCTATATAAATAAAAATGAGGTCATTAAATAAATACATTGTTTACACAATGCAGCACTCACTGACATCCATATTCCTTGCATCATTTTTCCTTTGTTAACCACAAGACCTGTGTAACACATATTGAACTGATATCTAATAATAAATTATTAATAATCTTTCATTTGCAAACAAAAACATTAAAACAAAGAAATCTCAGTAGCATTTCAGGCTAACCAAGGATACTTGTGAAAAGCAAAGATGAGTAAGCTCTTGCACTTGCAATTACTCACGAATACATGTGGTTATGAGCATTGTATGCCAAATCACACGCAGGTAGATATTGAACAATTAAAACCAAGCTTGGTGAAGAAAGGCAACCAAAAATACATAAAGGGGAGATTGAAGGAAGCAATACACAGACCACATTAAACCTAGCCAATAAACCTAAGGGCTAAACTTTAAGATAAGGGTACCAATGGCAGTCTAGTAGCAGTGAACTACAAAACCCATCATGCACAGGCAACTATCTAATGTCGGAGAGTGACGTATATTGAATTTCAGGTTAGCTTACCAAAGGAAGCATGTCACTGTGAATGATCAATTTGATTATCAATAATGTTCAGCGTGGCCTACAGTTATTGCATGAAAAATAATTTAAAATTCTCTATGTGAAAAACAAATAACATGTGGAGAAAAAAAAAAATATGAGGATGCACAAGCATTAAATAAAAATGTTTTGGAAAGCAACTGAACAGCACAGATCAAATCACAAGACAAAAACATAATTTCTGTAATATTTTATTTGATTTATATAGAAATACTTAAAAAAACATGAAGTAGCACCATTACTTAAAATTTTACCTTTTTATTATGTAGAACTTTAAATGTCAGAAAAATAAAACTCTTGATACAATTTCAAATCTTGTTTCAGCAAATATAATATTAGTATTTGACCATGAGGTTAAAGGCCCTTTTTTATCATAAAATAAAATATACTTTGTTTTTTGTTTTGTTTTTGTGGTTTTTTTTTTTAAACTTTGCTCAGTAAAGTACATTTACGCTCAAGTAACATCACCTACATATACATAAACAAGTGGTAAACAAAATGTATTAAAATAGAAATACTAAAACTATTGGTGCAACAGAATCTTGTAATCTCCACTGAAATTTTATACAAATGCTAGAAATCAGTCCAATGTTTCCATTTTAGTTGGATTAACCCCTGGAGTGCAAGAGATTGTGAACCGTCTTGAATTGCTCCAACCCTAGGCACTCTAGGGGTTAACAGGCTTACACATTTCAGTTTTGTTTTGTTTGTTTTTGTAATAATATAGAATAAAATATGCTTTATATCACGAAATAGAAAAAGATGCTGGGTGAAGCAGATTTAAAAGATTTTGTTATTAGAACCTATAAAATCTTTATTCCCAACAGAATACTGTTCAAAACATTTTGCAGTTTGTTTTGCTCCCCCCTCCAACCCTCCCATCTACACCTGTGTGATATTAAAATAATACAGTGTTCTTTGCCGTTAGGCCATACTAAAAATAAAAAGATTTTTAACCCAGCTACAAAAAAAGTTCACTGAACTTAAATTAAAATACTTGTAAACATCTTTGCAATATGAAATATAATTTTTTTCAAGTCAAAAAAAGAATAAAATACTTCAATCTGTATTAATGCAATTTATCTTTAAAACCTTTAAACACATTTTATATATATATAGTGTACATATATAATCACATACATACATATACATATATATTTATATATATATATATATATAGAAGATATGTTACAATTTAATATTACTTTGTTAAAGCTGCAGTATCGTGTTTTTTTCCCCCCTCAGGAGCCTTTTGTTTCTCTTCAAAGTACTGTTCTCTTGAGAAAAAGGCAATAAAATATATAAGCATTCAATAATTAATCACTCTGATTTTTCTTAATAAGAATCCTATGATCTACTAGCAATTAGGGACACATCACTAACAGCCCACATCAGAAGCATTTCTATGGAACAAAAAATATTATATATTAATAAATAAAATAGAAAAGGGGGAAGGGGTCAAGAATATTCGGATAAAGTACAGTGTAAAAATAATTTTTTTAACTAGAGTGTAGTTGTTCATTTGTAGAGCATGCAATACATGTGACTTTCTTTTTAGGCTACAATATACAAGTATAGGGAAATATCCTATATGTTCCCTTTAAAAATGTGCAGATACTGCAGCTTTAAAGCCACATTCTCACTTGGCAAGGATAAGACCATTTCCAAAATAGTGAGAGCCCCCCCATTTACTCTACAGTTCCAGGCATTGCTTTCAAATGTAGTTTTTTTTTTATTTATTATTTTAACCCCCAAAAGGGCTGAAAATCTACCTGGCCTTTTTTTTCTGTCATTAAAAGATTTAAATGGCTACCTTGGTCTATTGCAGCTCATTTTCAAAACAGACTCAAAGGCTTCACTGTTAATGGTACATATTATTAGACCAACATATCTATATTGCTTCTGAGGTGGGTGCATATAGACTTGTCCATGCAAGGTATTTACATAAAGAAGCAAGAGTGTGTTTGTACCAATTTAAAAAAAAAACCAGGTGCCTTATAAAAGAAGACATGCACTTGACATATGCCCCTGTTTTTTTTTTTTTTCTTTTTTGTAACAATTGCTTTGGGGGTTTATAAGAAAGATTATAACACGCCTCGTTCATTGTGTACACTGAGAGCCATGAGAGCACATCATGAGCATTCTATATATTAAGTATATATGTGTGATATTATATATATATATATATATATATATATATATATATATATATATATATATATATATATATATATATATATAGAGATATCATCATATAGAGACACATGTTGTATGGCACCATACAGGTGGGAATGTAGCCATAGGGCAGGGTGTATGTTCTTTATTTAAATAGTTGAGTGTCATTAATAATAATATTAATAATAATAATAAAGGCTTGGGTTCTTGCCCCCTAGGAAAAGATGCGGATGGCCTGGGTGACCTCAGTGTGGCACACCGGGCACTGGGGCTCATTCTTCTCACAGATGCGGTTAGCACACTCCATGCAGAAGAGGTTGTGCCCGCAGGGGACCAGGGCAGCGATCACCTCGCTCTCGAAACAGATGGAGCAATCGCGGCTGCTTTTCCTCCTCATACCCGATGAAGAGGAAGACGAGCTGGAAGAGGAAGAGCTGCTGCTGGAGGAGGATGAGGAGGAAGAGGATGAGTCGGAGGAGGCCATGCTGGGATAGGCGGAGTAGCTGAGGCCACCACCGGGGTCACTGCGCACTCTGCGTGCTAGGGGATGCTCGGAGAGCACACTGTTGCCGCCGTGCAGTGGGGGGGAGAGTCTCGGTGGGGCGGTGGGCCGCCGGCAGGTGGCGCTCAGCAGGCTGTTGGCATTGCTGGGGTAGGCGGTGGTGGAGTTGGCACTGCCTGGTGGGGAGCGATCGTACTGTGACCAGAGCAGGGCAGTGCCTGGTGGGGCGGGTGCAGGGTCGAAGCTGCTGTCAAAGGCCAGATCTGTACAGTCCGGGGAGACGAGCTCGCCAGCGCTGCCATACACATATCCATTGCCATTGTTGTTATTGTTGCCATTGTTGGTGAAGCTGAGGGCAGGGCTGGGGGGGCTGTAGTCTGCCAGCCTGGGGGTACCACCAAAGTAGGAGTCGGTGGAAGCACTGCCCAGGGAGCTGGAGCTGTCATTTCGGTAGTTGGAGAAGGTTTTTCGGGAGCCTGAGGTCACTCCCGAGTTTGGCTTGCTCCACAGGCTGCCGGGGCCGTGCAGGTCGAAGCCCACGTCCGTACCGTTGGCGTGAAAGTCGTTCTCGTCGGTGAGCTCGATGATGCCACCGGTGCGGACCGCGATGTGAGCCTCGATCTCTTCCCGGGCTCGGTCCACATTCTCTGGCATGCCGGTCACCTCGAACACCGGCTCCTTGTCCCGGCTCGGGGTCACGATGTAGGTGTGGGTCTGCTGCTGGATCCGCTTGATTGTGGCCCCCTTGGGCCCCACCACCAGCCCCACCACCCGGTAAGGGACCCGGACCTGGATGGTGGTTTGCCCCGGTAGGTTGGGCGGGCCCGGTACCGAGCCCCCGTTCAGCGCGTTCTTGTTCCGAGAGGCCCGGATCATGGAGAAATGCTCGGCCGCAGATATGATCTCCCTCCTGGCCATGGCCACATCTTCCTTCCTCCCAGTCACAACAAAGACTGGCTCCTCCCCGCGGACTGGGGTCTTGATGTATGTGTTGGTCTTAGCCCGCAGAGCTTTGATTTTACAACCTGGGAGCAAAGAAGACAACATGACATTACTCACTGTGTAAATATCACACAATAACACAACACAGGGAGAGACACAATAACACAACACGTGGAGATAACATGGCTTATTACTCACTGTGTAAATATCACACAATAACAACTGCCAAGGACACAATAACACAACACAACACAGGGAGAGACACAATAACACAACAACAACACAGGGACACACAATAACACAACACGTGGAGATAACATGGCCATAACTCACTGTGTAAATATCACACTACACAATAACAGCCAGGGAGACAACACCAGCCAGGGACACAATAACACAACAAAGGGAGACATCAGCAAGGGACACAACAACACAACACCAGCCAGAGACACAATAACAACACCAGCCAGGGACACAATAACAACACAGAGAGACAGCACCAACTAGGGACACAATAACAAAACAGCCAGAGACACAATAGAACAACACAAAGAGACAGCACCAGGTAGGGACACAATAACACAATAGCCAGGGAGACAACACTAGCCAGAGATACAATGATATTGCAGCCAGGGACACAATAACACAGCAGACAGGAAGACAGCAGCAGTCAAAGGCACAATAACACAAAACAGCCACACAATAACACACAACAACAGCAGGAGACACAATACAGCACAACAACAGAAAGAGACACAAAACGCACAAAGGCAATAAAACACAACAGCCACAATAATACACAAAGCCAATCAGACAATACGTCATAACAACACACACAGCCTGACAGACAACGTGTAAAGGTCCAAGGGCACAGCCAAGGTGGGTATCTGGGAGTGATGAAACTGCAGTGCCAACAAAGCAAATAATATCAACAACAGCATGTACACACATCACACACTCCATAACAGCACCAATCCTGGGGAGATGCCATCACATTGCTTCATAAAAGGCAGAAACATCCATTAACAATAAAGAACTACCAGAGACAAAGCAACCCTGAGCAAGTAGACCGTGCACACACCCCAGCACCCACTACACAGCCTGGGTATACATACTGCTACACAAATGCTGATAATATCCTCTGGTGATACATAAAGAACTCCCGTGGGCAAAGCAACCATCAACACCGAGACTATGTACACAGCAGCAGCCACTCCATGCCAGTACACAGCATGGGTACAGACGCTGGCACACTGCTTTACAAATGCTGACACAACCTTTGGTGATAAAGCAAGATAAAGGAACCATCAACAATGAGAGCATGTACACAGCAGCAGCCACTCCATAGCATGAAGCCTGACTATATCTGCTACATTGTATCACTGCTAGATACATGCATATACATCCTCCAGCCATGGATAAAAGGCTCCTATTGTAAACCAAGCATCACCCCATGAGATACCATCACACTGCACACACCATCACCCCATGAGATACCATCACACTGCACACACCATCACCCCATGAGATACCATCACACTGCACACACCATCACCCCATGAGATACCATCACACTGCACACACCATCACCCCATGAGATACCATCACACTGTACACACAATCAATCACCCCATGAGATACCATCACACTGCACACACCATCACCCCATGAGGTACCATCACCCCATGAGGTACCATCACTCTGCACACACCATCACCCCATGAGATACCATCACACTGCACACACAATCACCCCATGAGATACCATCACACTGCACACACAATCACCCCATGAGATACCATCACACTGCACACACCATCACCCCATGAGATACCATCACCCCATGAGATACCATCACCCCATGAGATACCATCACCCCATGAGATACCATCACACTGCACTCCCTGCACACAAAGCAGTCCATGGCTGGCATGGAGAGGGCATAGAGGGTGTGAGCACGCCTTGCCCATGCAGTGCCCATGCAGTGCCCGGCTGGCATGCCAGGCTGGCTCCATGTGAGCTGACCATACTGTGGACACACTGTGCCCCCTGGCATTCCTTTACACAGAGCCCCCCACGCACCCGGCATGCCCTCAGCTTACCTTGTCTGCCCACGATCTCCGCCACATGCTCCGAGCTGGGCACCGGCACGCACTCCGTCATGTTGACGCTCTTTTTCCGGGGCTCATTGTCGTACATGGAGCTCTCGTCATTGTCCAGCCCGAGCAGGGAGAGCTGGTCCAGGGCGATCTGCAGGGCTCGCTGGTCATCCAAGGTCTCACCTCCTCCTCCGCTCCGCTCCATGTCGGCAAACAGCGAGCTGGGCATGGTCAGGGCTCCCCCTCTCCGGCCGCTCTCAGTGGTACGATCAGACACAAAGGAACGCGAGGCGGCCGGCACTAAGGAGAGAAAGAGGGGAGGAGGGCGGCAGCGGCAGCCAGGTGGGGCAGTTTTCAGATTTGCCCTGTGCCCCCTCCACCCTGGCTCTGGAATCAGTGCAAATAAACAGGGGTCACTCCGGGCTCTTCTGTGGGGACTATGACCAAGTGTCCCCTTGGTTTCTTTATGGCCAGATTGCAAAAAAAAAATGATTAGCCAGGGATGGCAGCGTTTCTTTAAGGAGCCCCTCCCCGGCTCACTCAGCGTTTTTCTCCCCTCCTGTCTGAGCCACTGCAGCCAGACGGCACTAGAGGGGGATAAGAGGGCCGTGACGTCACGGCACGTCTTGACAGCACAATGGAGCTGACACTGGGACCAGCTGGCTCTATTGGTTACATTGGGCTAGCAAGGGCGGGCCTGGGCAAGTCTGGCACTGCCCACAGATCAACCCCCCCTCCAGCGGGGATAGAGGGAGAGAGAGAGAAAAAAAACTCCTTTATTTCTTTGTTGTCTAATGCAGAACAATAAAGAATCCAGACACATGTATTTATGTCTATCTCATATGGAAGTCCACCATGCTGCTGTGTCCTTGTGTGTTTTTTTTTTATTTATTATTTTTATGTTTTTATTTTATTTATGGTCATTGATAAGGCAGGGAGAGACTGTGCTGTCCATTGATACAAAGTACCCAGGTCTGAACCTCACGTGCATTTGGCTGTGGGACCTGAAAGTACTTTGTGTGCTTGCTTCTCACAAAAAAAAAAAAAAAACATGCCTTCTCGATTTATTTCATATCTGTGACCTGGCTTAGTCATTGTGTTAAAAGTCATCACATAAATATAACTCACTGTGGTACAAATGGTCCTGGAATAAATGTCAGAGGAATATTACTATCTGTTAAAATTGGATTACAATTTGTCCTCCAACCCCAAAAAATATATGCATTAAATAAAAGTGTCTGTCAATTATGGACACCTATGTTTATGTAAATGCATTTTGCTCTGTTGTTCCCTAAGCGCTTTATGCGAGTAAAGTGATTCAATGTGCATGTGCCATATATGGTATCATAAATAAACAATGTAACAATTTATGGAAGTTACAAGCCAGTAAAAGCATTTCTAGCACAATACAACAAAGGATCCCTAATCTAATCAGAATGTCAATAAGAAATCAAATAAACTGTATTATCCTATAATGAGTGTAGGATCTATCAGTTCAAATCAGACATTACTCCCAAAAATCCAGCAATAAGCGAGGCTCACATTTATTATGATCCAAAATAAGGCAAACAATAGAATGTTGCACTCATTAAATGATTACTGTATGTGTTCCCACACTGCCAGAATGTAAACACACAATAAGGACAGTGCCATGTGTAAATACTGCAAAACTATCATTTAAATAGACTTGACTATGGGCAGGATCCCCCAGAACAAAAGAATATGATTTTACCTATTTAATGAGAGTTATGAAATCCCTGAGATGACCCAATTGCTGTATGTCTCATTACCAATATATGTTTTGTTTTTTTATTGTGCTCTATATATTGTTTATTTGTCAGTAAGTTCATAAAGAGACAGGATCTCTCCACCCCCATGGGTGCAAGGTAAAATCTCCACACATGATACTTTGTGTGTTGTAAGGATGTGTCCAGGCATGTGAGCTAGCTCCCAGCCAATGGATGGGATGCTCTTTGTTCGGCACACATTGCATTGCTGGATAGCACAGAAGGATTTATCACGCCAGTAATCTACAGCAATGATAATCTATTGTTCTAACCATTATTTGATCAACTGTTTGGGGCAATGCATTTTCTTGCATTGAAACGAGTTGTTGTTATTAGTGGTCTATTGATCTGGCATTGATAGGCAAATAGATGCACCAATTTGCAAGTAGCTGCATTCTCCTCGGTGTTTATTGTACTGAACTCGCCATATCCTCCGGATGTTTACATCATGTGCAGCAGTAACGGGGGGGGGGGGTGGGCAATAATCTCCCCCCCCCCCCCAGCCCTCTGTTAATTGATCATTGCTGATCCACCATCAGGCTCCTTAATTAAGGGTCTTTCAAGGTGAACATATTTTGGACTATCTAAATATTGTATTCCAGATATTGATGACTACAATTCCTATCATGCTTAGCTTAATGAGAAGCAACATTCTAAAATGCACACTGTATTATACTGCACACTTTTTACGGCAGTGCCTTAAATGTGCAAAATCTCACTAGACTTAAAAAGATACATTGTAGTCCTGCCACTGTTTTTTTTTCCCACTGAAATATCAACTTTCTTTCATTCCATCAATTTAATGAAAACATTCTATATTTAATAAAGTTTTATGCTGTAGGTTGAAATAATTTCAAACAAATTCCACAATGGATAGGTAAAGGAAAGGAGTTTATTGGATACTTGTGGTTCTCAGCAACCATTAAAGGGAGCTTAAAATGCCAAAATGTTATTAAAGTTGGAAATTACTTTTACATTGAAGAAACTATAAAGTTCCTGAAGGTCAGAAAGTAGACTGTATATGTTTTATTATGCCCCAACCTCTATAAGCACAGCAGGCAAAAAAATATGTCTAACTTTCACTTTTCAGATGTTACTTTCCGCACCAGCAATAACACTCAGTAATAACTAAACTTTGACCCCCAGATGTGTGTGAACTATTTTTCCCATAATGCTCAGCCATCATATTGGCACTACTGCCAAACATTTATAGTTTCACAGAACAGTTTCAAGTACGTTGTGCATTTGATAACTGTGGTTGAACAGCATGTGGTAACTTGTAACTTGATTCCTTGAGATGAGTATACATTGTCGAAACTGAACAGATGGCCCCTCTCCGCCAATGGATAAAATTCACAGTCAGGATATTGGGTGATGTCATGAACCACAAAAAGTTCAGGTGGAGTTAAGATAGGCTTTTCAAATCCCAAAACTTATAACACATCCAAACACCTGCTTTAAAGAACATATATACCACAAGAGACTGCTTTATAGCTAAAGGAAAAAAACAGGCAATTTCATATCATTCAATAAATAAATAAATCTGTCTTAAAGGGAAATTGTAATTTTAAAAAAGTCATACCTATGCAAAATAACATTTGTAATTCTCACAAATATCTGAGTACAGTGACTGTAATTCATCCCACACCAGCATTGGCACACCAACTCAATTGTACTAGTTGGTATGACAGCTAGGAGGTGCAATTCTCGAAATAACAGAGCTTAGAACCCTGTTTTGTCACAATGCAAAACAAAGGCACTATATCCACTTAAGGACGCTAAAGTGGTTACAGTGCCTAGTGAGTTTCTATAGATATAGAGGCATGCCAAAACTCTAATTATACATAACAACCTCTACTAAGTACCTGCCACCTGGATTTTATTTATTTTTATCATTGACCCCTTGATGCTGTTTAATTAGCTTTTTATACTATTACTTCACATTGGCAGTTGATGGGCATTACTTATCAGCATGAAGAAAGCTATCAGGCTTGATGCAAGATGACTTGAGATAGCTGTCTATAAAGACTGGCAAAATGGTGATATTTCACATGTAGCATTTCTGAATTACGTAAGTATTGGCTGTCCAGAAGTATCTATGTTGAAAAGAATTATCCTAGCGGGACATTTTTCAGCATTATCAGTCACTATTTGAACCATAATATTTTAGTTGATTGAAGAAATAACTCACTTTTTTCACTTTTTGCTTGGTGTCACAACATCCTCCTACCCAGTCAGGAAGTGTTCACTAGTGAAAGTGCAAAAAGAAATTGCACTATCCAGTCTATTAAAATCCCTGTGTGCAATTTGAAATTTGGACTAGAGACAGCGCAACATTAAAATGAAAAGGATTCTTTTGTATTTCAAACATTTAGAGGCCACATGAGGGTTATTCACAAGATAGGGAATTGATAGAAATTGACCAGGTAATATAAACTTTTAGGCCAAAATAGTCACTGAAAACAGGTTAATTCCCTGGATAATTGCTCGGAATTGACAGTTTAGTTCAAGTGTCACTGTGTGTAACATTTCATTTAGTTAATTAGGAGCAAAGGCCCATAGAGGGGAGTGCTCGGTGTGCCTAGGCACACCCTAATGGATGGACACAGTATTCTCCCTGTCCTTAGTATGGGTCTCTGTGGGAAATTTTGTAAATTTGAAACAGTTAACGATGTTTTTAAAGAAAAACTTTGTATAGACCTTATTACTGTGCAAGAAAGTATATTTTGGAGCTCTTTTGTTATCTCTGCCCAGGCCATACTTGCAAATGAGAGAAATCTCAATGTATCCTTCATGGAAAAAATATGTTACAAATAAATGATATTTATGTCTTTTAAATAAAGTTTAAATGCTCATTGTCACCCTAATGTAATTTGCTATGATTAGGAATATACATTTCTTATTTCTTACAGAGAATGTAGTTTTAGAGATTCACTGGGGGAAAGCCAGATGCAACCTAAAATCAGATAAACATCCTGGTATTTGAGCTCCATTTGCCTTTTCACACCTAATCTGTTATCTAAAATTGCTGGATTACTTTAAGTAAATCATGCATTAACAATCTTATTCCCTACAATTATGCAGAAATAAACCTGGGTGTAACAAAACCATACATGCATGGATATAAAGTAAAAAAATAAAATAAATATTTTTACCAATTATATGTGTTATAAATTAAATGCTTTTTAAACATATGGTCGAGATCGCATGATATTTAGAATCATTCCTAACTTCAATATTTCATAGTTTTATTTGATCATAAAATGGAGTATAACGAAATAATTTTACACACAGACAAATTAGATTTATTGCAATGATTCCCATTCCACCCCCTCTACTGAGTTTCTTTGTATAGCAGACATTCCCAAACATTTTCTAATTTATTGCAACCATCAGAAACAAAAGGTGTGTTGTCAGCTTCTTCAAGATAATCACTGCCAGTCACCCCCCACAGACATATATTTACTGGTACAAAGTACAGTAAAGCAAACTTCTAGGTTATTGTGTGAGAACACGCAGTTCAAATGCACATGTAGTAAGTCCTTTGAGGTGTTCATTGAAGTCTTGAGAGTAACTGCCACTATGTTGCAAAGTGTTTTACAACAGTCAATTTGGCAGATGTTCCTCCTGGGCTCCCATAATATACCAAAATGTGTAGCAAACTGTGTAGCAAAATAGCAAGTGACATCACAGAACTGTTTCTGTTGTTTTTTTCGTCATGTGAAATTAATGGTTGAGTATAGCGAGACTATAAAACAAATACACTGTTAATTGTGATGAACAGATAGACAGATTTGTAACAATACGACAAAAATAACAAAACTGAGATAAGGCTGTACTGGAGAATTTTTCCAACTATAGCTATTTTGTTTTAAATGTTAATTCACTTACTACTAGGTTTTGGTGAAAAGTTCATCTATATGGGCCTAAATATCACA